AGCGGTGAATTCTAATTAAATAAGATTATGATTGTATTTAGTACACAGTATATGAGACATCTGGTAAATACAGAGTTACTCATGGAATTATGGTAATATATTTATTATTTGAATAAGGCATGATGACTTAAATCATCATATCTATCTAGTACAGAGATTTCTAGCTCTTTATGACTCATCTAACATACAAGTTAACAATATAACTTTACACACTCATTGTATAGTCTTCATCAATTAATGTGCAGCAACTCTTTATATTACTCACGATTTATCAAATTATTCCCAAATTGTATTCTCATTACCTTAAACATTTTCAGATTGCTTCTTAAAATCCGGTTACGATTACTCTCGAATTAGCCGACTTCACATTTATGGGTTTATTCGGATTATGTGGATCAAATTTTGATTTCTTCTATGTTATGTGCTATTTTTATTTTCACTGTATCTTTTTCACCTGATTTTTCCACACTTATATTTATATCTTCTTGATCGTTGTTTATGTTTTGGTATAACATTAGGTTTTGACCTATTTCCATTAAATTGGTTACTAAAGTTGATCTTGTGAAAGCGTCACTGAAAGCTTCTTATTTTATTGACCATTTATTTCAACTTCTACATTTCAAGCAAATATTTGATTGCTAACAGGAATAATATTTGAGCTATTTCAAAAAGATATAAAACAATTTTTGGCAATTTTGGGTATACCAATTTTGAATAACCAAGAGAGTTATCCGGATTAAAATGAAAAATAATATGATGGTTTTATTTGTAAATATGGTTTTTGAGATTTACATGGTATCAAAGTAGAGTCAACGAATCAATAAAGTGTTAATAATAACATTTCTCCTATTGGTAATGAGGGTCAAAGCTGCTGAAAAAAAATCAATTGAATTTTGGCAAGTGTCTATCGACAGTATTAAGAGGTGTATTTAGAGAAGCATGAACTTGAATAGTTTTAATACTCGGCATAACCTTTTCTTTTGGGAAAATCTTGTAGTGATGCCTGTTATAAATATGAACAGTTCAAAACTAAGATATATTTTGAAACTATTTCCAAGGTTAAAGCAAATTTAGGACGTGAATATATCGTGTATCAAGCAATGGCAGAAACATTCTACACAGATTTTGAACATTATTATTGAAACTGCACAATAAGATAATAACACTGAAGTGGTTTGAAGCGATTACCAGTTTCTGTTCTACCTGTTAGAGACATTTTCTATAAGCTATAAATATGGGTATTCAATATGATTGAAATCAAAGTATTTATTTCAGCAAGACTAGAAAATTATAGATATTTATGCATGATGAAACAACAGTACAAAAAGATTTTATTATATGTTTCTCAAGACTCTAAGTGAGAACATTTAGTTATTTACGGATAACTTTATTGGACAAAACAAAAATTTTGCAATGAAAATGATTTTATGAAAGAGTTGTCTTTGGCAATTATGCGTAGATAGAATTACCAATTTTTTCCATTGGTACATAGTGCTTTGACAGATAATATTTTGATAATGCAACAAATTTTGAAGTGATACAAATCAATCAAGACAAACGAGTTTTACAGTTTTGTTTAAATTCTCAAAAAAGCATTCATAAGAATCATTAGCAAAAAGGTTTTTATTCTGAGAGGAAAACATTCCCTATCCATTTGATTTGTCATAATCGCTGTTAGATATCTATTGTAAAGCACGACGAAGAATATGTGATAGGCTGAGGTTGCTCCTCTGATATCCTTCGTTTAAGATATCATTAATCAGGACGTTTTCAGAGACATTCTCGGGAATATTTTGAAACGTCACGTGTTTTCCTTAGATAGGCCAATACTTTTGAGGAACGCACCAGTATACAATTTGTAAGCTATTAACGCCTACAACGCTATTAATTTATTCCAACCACAATACAAATAACTTTTGACAGCTACTGTAACTTCGAAGATTTGGTTAACATTCACTCTCAGCTTTTCAATCAAGTATATCAACAATTTCAAACATACAAATATGTGTACAAAACATATCTCAAGATGATTAATTGTTGATACTTATTCATTGCTTTGACGTTTAATGTACAAAACATTACGAATCATGTTGATACCGACAATTTTTACTTTTTTTTTGGTTTCCAATTGCTATTAACTGTTTTTAAATCACGAAATGGAGTGATTTCGCAATATGTTTTCTCCAAAGTATTACTCCAGTACTTTCATACTAAGAATGTGAAATCACTTCCAATTTTTGGATAAAAGGCTTGTTTAAAAAAGAACATTGGGACTGTTCAGCGTATTCAAGAAGCTATTTCTGTTATTGATCCAAACAATCTACCCCAATCCCAAGTTAGATTGGTGAAGCAAGGAACTCGGATCTTTCAGAAAATATATCTTATTGTTAAAGTGAAACTTTAATGATTTTGTCTGTTAATTCTGATTTATAGAGAAGTTTGATGAACTTAGATACACTTCGTTCACTTCATACATTGTGTGGGGTGGACTAAGGAGGTTAAAAGTCGATGAAGAGGAGAGTTGATATTTTAAGTTATTTTTGTGTTATTGTTTATCTCCCCCTACTTGTATCTGGTTCTTCCAAATTATTTACTTAACCATTTCGAGTGTTTTTAGAAATAATCATTTTAAAGTAAACAGTCAAAACCTTGTCAGTCGGTGTTTCCATAGCTACCCTCCAACGACAATTCTAAGTGGACGTTTTAAAGTGGTCGTAAATGTTAAACTTAGATATACATCGAGTTTGAACGTTCGCTGGTAATGAGCCGGCACTTAAGTAATTAACGGTCACTTTACGACGCGTTTTCGATGAATTATTTAAGACGTCACTTTCTTCAGATTATACATATACAAATCCAAATTGATTAAATTTATTGGTTTTAAAAGCTTGTTAATTAATGACTTGTTAAATAATAGTAATAAATAATTCTTTTGGTTTAAATGTTAACGGGTTAATATAAACAATTCGCTACAACCATAAAATTGAAAATCCTTTTACTTTAAACTTTCAGTATTGGTGCGGAATCGTTAACGAGCTTCGTGAGTGTAGTAGCGTACAACCCAAGCTTTGAAAGTCAATGCCTCTTCTATTAACATTGGCAGTGAACGTAAACTCGATATAACCTCGCGGAGTAATTTGCTAGCGTGCTAATTGTTTCACGTCGCTCGTTGTAGCCCGGTATAAACGACGATTTCCACTCAAAAGGTGACATTTACAGTGTTCCCAAGTGTTCCGGTTCCGTTTCTTCGCATTACGACCGTAGAAAAAAGAACGGTTATGCGCGATTGCTCTCGTTTCGCATAATCGCAAGACCATTTCGGATGCCGACTCGTTGGCGACGATTTGAACGTTATCGTCGTCGTCTTTTCCTTCACTGTGAGAATTTAGAAAGTAGTCTTCTTTAATGGTAAAAAAAAGGTATAACGATCTGTCACCCGTTTTGATCGGATATAATCTAAACCGTGTTTGGATAGGAACATGAGGATAAGTTGAAATCAATTCAAATAAGCTTTAATCTGTATGCTAATTCCAAGTTGAGCTTGTGGCACGGATTACCGGTAATTAAGTATAAGACTGACAAATTGCAATAACCCGTCCGGTCTATCGATAACGACTTTTTGAGCAATTTAATTAACTGGGGGAGAGAAAGAAAGGCGAAATTCCATCGTTGGTAATTAGACTCTACGACTGGGAATGCAATAAATTAATCGTTTAATCGTTCGAGCTCTCGTGAGCAAACTGCATTCGTCAGGCGCTTTTGCAATTCGCCACTCCGTAACCGATGTGTACGATAAATTAAATTCTCAATTAGGATCGAGTTCACACGTTCCTTTTGTATATGCGAATTGATAGCCTTTTTTTAAATTTATTATTACGAACCGGGACTTTTGGCGGTATCTTACTAGGGAAGCGGGTTTTCGTGTCACATTAATGTTTAATATTTCTCCAAAGAAAACACAACATTTTCTAAGGGGGACGAAAATGGAACGCGAGAGAAATTTGAACTTGGAAAGTCGCAGCCACGATGAACCACCAGTTGTCAAATTAAATTGTTGAAAAATATTCGTACTTGAAAGTTGATATATTTTTTATAACCCGCTTTCCACGGTTGTCTCAACTTATTACAAGTTTCGTTTTGTTTTATGTATTGATGCCGTTTTGTTTTGTAAGCGGATTTACGCTGGTGATCTCAATGTAGTGATTAGAATGAAGGGATTTTCAAATTATTATGGTTGAGTGAAACAACAAGGTACGCAATAATTATTTACAAGGACTTATTTATAAGAAACAATTGTGAGAAATATTCGAGATAAAGAAAATGTATGTGATTGTTGAATTTACGCATTTTATCCTTCGCGTAATACAAATTATGATCACGAGAACCTATTATATTAACTAATTGAAAAAATGTATTATGGATTTCTAAGAATACATTTGATAACTTTTTTATTAATTACTTTGTTATGGTAAAGTCGTGACAAAGAAATATGATCGACTTTGATTATAATGATTAAACTAAAACTTATCGGTCGATTTCTTCTGATTTATGTCACACTAACTAGATTTATGTAAATATGATGCAGATTATTTAGATTGAATTAGATTAATTTTATTCCAGTAATAAGCGATAAACCAATAAAATAAAAAAGTCTACGTATCTCGTTGAGTGTAAATGAATACGGGATTACGATTTAATTTCCTGTACCAACCCCCTAAGTATTACCGCACTAAACCGATCGGTGTAACTTTACCCACCTACACGACTTCCAGGCTGACATTTCAAATATCAACCCTGGTTCCTGCGGCGCTGACAGGAAGAGAAAATCAATACCGTCCAACTTAACCCTCGCGCCATCGAACCATAGTTTTTAGTCTTCCTATCACATAAAATCCCTCAACAACAAAAAAGTAGCCAAAAAAAAACTATCGATTATATTCGTTTTTTTAATTTAAATGTGATGAAAAATAAACTTAAAAATCAAATAAAACTTGACTTACCTTTTTTTACTGTGCCCAACTTTGTCAAGCTCGATATGTCTGTATGTAGCGTAGGTGGCCATCGTGGTCGCAATTTTAATGGGGTTCGAAGACTTCGATTGAATAAAACACGAGACTTGGGGCGCCTGGTTGGGAAGAGTAGCAAGTTGACTGATAGAGCTGATAGATATCGGGGGCGTTTGCGATGTCTGACTGTCTGGTGCGCACTCGACGGAGGTTGTGTTAGTTTTGCGTCGGTCGGTCTGCGTCGTCCCTCTCGTTCGTACCGCAACAGCTGACTGACGGGCCGGCGACCTCTTCGAGCTTTTATACCTCGCCGGTGTGCAGTCGTCTGTACACGCTTTCCACGCACTACGCCGCCGTTGCCGCCGTCGCCGGCGACAAAACCTCCTTGGTGTGTACCACGCGTTTCGCTCTATACAGAGTCTATACTATGGTATTAGAGATAAACCAAGACATTTTTCCTTAATGGTGGTTCTTAAAGATTTCTGTAATTTGATAAAGAGTATACTCGAAATGGACCCAAAATCACAAATTGGGTTGGGTCAAAAAAGTAAGTTAACGAGCACACCTGGACCAAAGTTGAATCAACTTAATAACATTGAATTGGGTTGGGTCTACAGAATGACTTGACTAAAAACGGAAATAAAGAATAAAATGGATTTTAGAAAACTTATTATGTTGTCCAAAAATATTTATTAATTTGCTCTTAATTACACTCCAATTTTTCAAGGATAATGCTCTAGGATTATCTTTATTCAACTTCAGTATTGCGGTATCATTGAGATTATCCGCCTTTCTAAGATGAACCTCCTGAATGTTTAACTTTTGTTGTAATATAGCAGGTAGTTTTAAATTTTGTAATCTCTTTCCCTATGGGAGCAAGCACACTATCTCCCTCACTTTGTGTGTGTTCATAAACAAAAAGTTGTGTTATCAAGTTTATTTTTAGAAGAGATGAAATTGCATGATTGTATAAAATTATAATGAATTTATTTTTATTTTACGTTAATATGAAATAAAATACGGTCTTTCGTGACTTTTTAAATTAATTTAAGTATAAGTAAAGCTCAGCGCCTTCAACTTCAATATTATTTACAGTACAGCAGATTATAATCAAATTGTACATTCTGTTCTTGATATTGTTGATATAATGTTGTCTTTAAGCAAGTCTGCAATAATCTTATTATATATTCTTTAATGTAAAGAGATCGCCTTTTATACTTTGTTACCTTGTCGTAATACTTCTTATTTTGGCAGTATCTGGACCAAGTTGTAAATTTTTATTGATTTTGAACGCTTACGTCAATAAACGTCTTGGTGACTGAGTTAGACATCTTAATTCAAACTAGACTTAGCCTTCTGAGCTTTCTTAGTCCGACGAAATATTCACAACAAGCTCTACCTATATCATCGGCCGCCTCTCAGGTAAGAGTAACTCTATCGTTAGAACTCAATGTGTTTAATATCCTTTTATAACCATTAAATATAGGTACATATATACAGTGATTTGCCTGTTTCTAGAAGGTTTTGCATTCAATTCAGGTCTGATTGTGAGTGTGAGGAAACAGAACCTTAAAAAGATTTCCCCAACTTATACTATCACCGTCAAGTCCAACGATATGGAAGAAATCAGACCAGCTCTAATAAAACTCTAGACATTGGATAGATCAGAAGATCATCTTCTTTTTATTAAACAATCAATTGGACGCACATCGTGAAAAGGCAGCGTTATGCGAATGTACCTATGTAATAAAGCAATTGGTCAGCTATGTGCCAGATTGCTGAAAAGTGGTAGAAGTCACCATGAACTGAATAACAATTTGGATTTCGTAGTTAATATTCCAACATTGATCAGGTTTACAGGATTCAATATATTACAGCGATCAAATCAAGAAGACCCTAGACAACAAGTAATAGTCAACGATTTTGATAAGGTTAGGTGCCATGGATTACTTCATAAGCTAAACAAAATTTTACCAGATCGATATGTTCATCTATTAGAATTCCGAAATGCGGATCTACATAAAGACTTAAAGATTCCTTCCATTAAAGAGGAACATAAATCGGCACAAATGCACAAATTTATCAGCTATTTGACAAAACCAACCTTTACTACATTCACTAAGAAACCTAGGTATTTACTTCTTGGTAACCATACTGTTGAGGACTTCGTGAACATTTTGCTAACATTTCTGAATGGATATACCGTCCTAGTACCTTCTTAACGATACTTTTGACTGTAGTCCAGTAGTCATCAGAAAACTATTACTAAAAGGCCAGAGGAAATGTCGGCTCTAGTAATAGTTGTAGAATGTAGCATTATGTTACACTTCTTCACAGAATCTTTTCATGATCATGTTGTAATTCGTTACAGTTTGTGTTTGAGCGATTAATTTCACGGGTTATATCTTATAACAGTAGTGATAACAGCCAGGTTAACAGTGAAGTGACTCCTAAACTGATCTTCAAAGGTAAACTCCAAAGCTATTAAGAGTTGAATGTGTCTATGGTCCGAACAAAACGGTTTAAAAGAACTTCTCCAAGAGGTTACATGAGTGATATATCAAAAGCCTCTGTTATAAGACTGCTAAAGAGATACTCACCTTTGTTATTATTTTTTGCCTTGACCATTCCAGAGATTCCATCTCTGACTAAGGCGCAGTGATTGACGCATTTTCATCAGCATGTCTGTTTTTTCGTCTATTGATATTTCCAATCGGAATTGGACTCGGCCAAAACCAAAATGGACACCAACCCAGATATTCCAGGGCTATATTGAGATGTCGGTGATGGCAAATATCTATGATTGCTCTAATTAGAACAACCATTTGTTCTTCCGGTTGAGTCACAGCAGATTTAACAAGAAATAAAAGTCCATCACGGTAATGTTCCCATACCTCGATAAGTCGATTGAAAGTAGAGGTCAGGGAGTATCCAGAGTATCTCAGGCGGCATAATGTGCATAAGCTGTTTTACTTAAACTGGAGGTTTTTAATGAGATTGTCTTGATGGGGATCTTAATGAGGTTCGAACCCTGAGTATAACAGCACAAGCGTGGCAAGCCCATTTAGGACTGCACCCTCACCCCTGGCGTGGTATAAGGGAGGGCCATAATAATATCATTTTCGGAATAAGGTATTTTAGACGAATTAATCAATTTTATTTCTTTATTATTGACATTATTCTCTAAATGGGTAGCATTACCTAAAAGATAAATAGCTCGTTAATATAATTAAAGCCAAATAATACGCACCCAATTAAAAAAACAAACATTTCAAATAAGGTCTAAGATGTTTACTTATAGTCATGTTCTTGTACGACAGAGGAATGGTTTCCCTTTTTTACAACTCAAGTTTCTATCCACTTTCTTTCACCTTCAAGGTTTTTATGTAAAGTATAAAACAATAATTTTGCACGTTTCTTCTTTTTTGTTATATACAGTTATATCTTTAAATATATATGTAACCCTTTTTTAGAAAACAATTTGGAACTGTTTCTATTTCTCTTTAATAAATAAAATATTATTTAGAAATGTAACTTTTGTTTGACATACTTATTTAGAATTGGATATATACTTATTTACAACAGGAAATATACATTTTTTCTTAATACATTTTTTTGTATCAATATTTAGGATCAAAATGTTTCTAAACAAAAAATCAAAGTAAAATGTGACCATATTAACAAATTTAAATGTTTTGTTATGAATACTTTAAAATTAAGATTTTGTGAGATGTAATCATCTTCTTTTGTGTGAACAATATCCTACTATAGAATTCCAAAATTTGTTTATACATCCCAAATTTTTTTTGCTGTTTATATGTATAGCGATGTGTTAGCCGAATACAGAATAAAGCTGACTTACGAAATAATTGGTTTTAAGAGAGGGATATTAAAAGTTTTTTATGTAAAATATAAACAAATTCATTTATGTTGAAGTATAAACTGTACATAAAAGGGTGGTAGAATTATCATGTTATTTATATTTTTTGCTATCTACTATATCTACATCGCTTAATGATTTCTGCAAGGAACCTTTTTGCCAACAAGTTTTCGTTTATTTTCAAGATTTTTAATTGTCCAAATTGAAAGTGCAGTATAATTTACAACACTGAAGCGAAAATTTCACTGAGCGAGTTCAAAAAGATCATCCGATGCTCTATACTTGGACTCTCAACATCCACTATTAAAATCTAGAATTGAGTAAACATTATTTTATGCCAACAAATTTGGTTCATTGTAATTTGTTATAATTGGTTAGAACATTTAAACATTTTTTACCAGCACCACTTAATAGTTTCCTATTGAAGCTTCGTTAATATACCACGAAAGGTTTTATCCCTAATAAATTCGGTTATTATACCTTATACATGAATTTTCCAATGTCGGTAATTTTATAATAGAATGGACAAGTCGCGGGTCAAAATCCACGTACGAGCGGAGGAGAAGGTTGTTAGACTTATTGTTAGTTGAAGACAGTTGTAAGGAAAATATAATATATAAACGTTTGAAAGGGCTAACGCTGTTTTATTGTCAGCCTGAAGATATTCCGATTCCAGAGCAAGCCCAGGTGTGCGGTCTAAAGAGATCGAAATAGATAAGAAAGATCGGTCGAAGAGAGAAATATGAGGATATCTACAAAATTTAAAAGTGGCAACAGGGGCCATCGACTTGTACATCGGTGACATGTTTATTGTTTTAGTAATTTATCAAGAATATATACTCCTGTTTTGGTCCAATTAGATTCACGATGCACTCTAGAATTTAAAACAACACTAAGTAAATTTATTTGTTTATCACAATTTTGACAAATATTGTTCTTTTCGACTTCATGATTCATTATCGGAATCGATTTCTTAAATGGTGACTGAATTTGATTATCTGTCGGTAATATTATCAGATTTTTTCATCCTATTGCTGACCCAGAGAATCTGCTGATGAAATTGATTTTGGTGAAAAGACTTATTATGTAAACTGTGTTCTGATAAATTTGTCTATGATTGATATTAGTTAGAAATGTATAATTTAAGTTTTTAAAAGTTAATTCCATTATCCCGCATTTCCACAAGAAAGAAAACTAAAAAGATAAAATCAAATCAATAGTTTCGAAGTAATCCGGATTAAGTGCTGAAAATGATTTAAACATGAAGCTTTAAATGGAGAAGAATTAAACGCTGTGTCACAATTTTATAAAGACCATAAAAATTGCCCTTAAATAAAATCATGCTGCGTTTACAACTTCCAATCATTAAAGAATTAATTGATAGAGAATTTTTTTGGAAGTACTTGTACGTGT